ACTTGTTGCCGCTCGTTTTGTAATGCAAATATTGCTCAGGTTGCGTATACGACGTGTGTGCCCATAAGGTGAGCTAAATGTGTGAACTCTACAGCCCCCAGACTTTGTATTTTTTTTGGTGAGACTATTGAATAGGCAACCTGGCAGCCCTGACCCGCTTAGTTAGCGTTATCGACATCGTCGCTCCTTCGCCTTCAATAAAACAAATTAAAGCCAACAATTGACGTTTAGGACCTGAAGCTACTCGCCTTGAAAATCCGCAACCACAATGGTTTTGGATTCGGATTTGGATTTGTTGGCGATACAATTCAGCAATTGCCTGACTTCGAGTTTTAAGCCGCCCGCTTATCAGCCGCCCGAAATCAATTTGGCAATAATATTTTGCGGCTGCACTTAGTACTCACTAACTGCAATTGGTCGCCTGCAGTTGCACTTTTCCGTTTGCGGTTGCGGTTTCTGTTGGATTTGGATTTGCATTCTGCGTTCCCTGCTGCCTGACAGTGAATAATTTGCCATTTGCCTTCGATTCTGCGTTCAGCTTTGCCGTTTAATTCGGCCTAATGACTTGGAAAAGCGCAAAGTTGAGCCCTTGGCGAAGGCTTAAAGTAAATAAATAAAAAAGGAAGTGTCTAAGGCGGCAATACAATCGGCTAATGAGATTGCATAACAAAATGGGGGGATTTTCTTGAAAACTTTACCCACACTTTTTGATAAGAATTGGTTAAATTTTATTTAAAATCGAATTGAGTTTTGAGAGACAAACAGATAATATCATTCCACTCACTCGCAGTCACCTTCAAGTGGGTCAGTACCCCCGATTGTGGATTCGTCGGGGGCTTCAATCATAACCTACCACATCGCTTTCGCTTGAGGGCTCTTCTGTAAAAATTCCAAGAAATTCTTTGACAATGCCCGGGCACTTACTCCAATGTCTCATCACCTGAGAAACCACTCGATCAGACTGTTTTCAAAAGAAATTTAATTTGCATTATATATGCAGTATTAATGACTTCTTTGGAAGCCATGTGGAAATTTTCTGGGATAAGGTCAGACCAGTTGGAGCACGGTTACAGCATCACGTAGCCCTCCCCACAGCCAGTGGGGATGCAGTTTAGTCCCCAACAAATAGAAGTCCCAATCATTCGACCACCACTCTATGGACTCTATGGGGTGATGATTTCATCAATTTCATCAGCCGAAAATATGCAAATGGATCCGCATGCATAGTAAGCGGCAGTTGGAAATTGAAAGCGATTATCGATGCGGTTCAAAATACATGAATTGAAGTCGTAGAAACCGTAGATCATGCCATACGGAAAAAGTCATTGCGCCGCACTACCATTGCAGTAGAAAAATTTTGAAGCTTATCCCCTTATTTGAGTTTGTAGTATGCAGAGTGCAATGATCCAGACCATGGTCCATTTTGGAATAAAATTTCAGGTACAGTTGCTGCACAGAAACAAAATTTTAAAATATATTTGCTTTTCTGTGGAATAGTAAAGGTATATACATAGAGATGACTTTAATATCGAACAACAAAATGTCCTTTTATAAACCTATATCAATTTTCCACTTAAACTAGTTAGGTATCTCATTCTTTCTGTGTAGCACCCTTGAACTACCCATGAACCCTGTGTTCTGATGTTCTCTGTTGGGGTTTCTCCGCCTTTTTGCATTGGGGGCTGGGGTCTAATTTATGCACCTAGCAGCAGCTGTTTAGATATTCTAAAATCAAGTCGCTTAATCAAATGCATCGTCTGCCTGCAGGCTTGTCCCAGTCCCACTCGAAAATGTGTGTCATATATGCATGAGATATTTGGCGCCTGGGATTTCTGGAATACGAAATCTAGTTGTCCAGCTATCGAAATGCAAATCCTCTAATGCAGAGAGCTTGGAAGGTGCCAGCAAGTCGATAGAATTCCCCAAAATGCGCCTCGTTTTGATTTTTATTTTCGAGCAGAGTTCAACGCTTGACATTGACATGCGCCAAGGTTTATGGAAACTAGGAAAAAAGTTTGCAAAACGTTATACATACTTGTATTCTAGATTTGAAAGATTTTTTAGAGTTTTCCGGTGGGCCCTTGAAAAATGCACGCAATCCATGCAATTCCCTTTCGAATGTGCAAGAATTCACGGAACCCCAGTATGGCCCTTAGCGATGGCTATATCTTTGCGGTTGTTTGTCCGATCCACTAGAAGAATACCTTAAACGATTTGTGGCTCGATTTCGCAAAATTCTGCATCAAAACCTGACAAACAATTATTTTTCAGATTTTTCGTCAAATTTTCTAGGGGAACCCCTTTAGAATGTGCAAAAATGCATGGACCCCCCATATCGCCCATATCGATGGCTATATCTTTGCGAATGTTCATCCGATTTACAAGGGGAATATCTTAAACGATTTGTGGGTTGATTCCGCACAATTCTGCATCAAAACCTGACAAAGGATTATTTTTCAGTTTTTTTGTCAATTTTTCTAAGGGGTCCTCTTCAAAATGCACAAAAATGCTTGGACCCCCAATATGGCCCCTAGCGATGGCTATATCTTTGCGAATGTTCATCCGATTCAAATGGGGAATACCTTAAACGATTTGTGGCTCGATTTCGCACAATTCTGCATCAAAATCTGACAAACAATTATTTTTCAGATTTTTTGTCAAATTTTCTAGGGGATCCTCTTCAAAATGTACAAAATTGCTTGGACCCCCATTATGGCCCCTAGCGATGACTATATCTTTGCGAATGTTCATCCGATTTACAAGCGTAATAGCTTAAACGATTTGTTGCTCAATTTCCCACAATTCTGCATTAAAACCTGACAAACGATTATTTTTCAGATTTTTTGTCAAATTTTCTAGGGGATCCTCTTCAAAATGCACAAAAATGCTGGGACCCCCAATATGGCTTCTATCGATGACTATATCTTTGCGAATGTTCATCCGATTCACAAGCGGAATACGATTTGTGGCTCGATTTCGCACAGTTCTGCATCAAAACCTGACAAACAATTATTTTTCAGATTTTTTGTCAAATTTTCTGGGGCGTCCCTCTTCAAAATGTAGAAAATGCATGGACCCTCATTATGGCCCCTAGCGATGGCTATATCTTTGCGAATTTTTATCCGATTCACAAGCGGAATACCTTTAACAATTTGTAGATCCATTTTTCGCATTTCTTCCCAATCTCAGTAATTTGATATGACATTTTCTGGTAAAGTTCAAGAATGTAGTAGGTGGCTCAAATTGTTTCCAGGACTATCTCAAGGAAATCCATCCGTTTCGTCCTCCTAAATCATGGCTTATGCCAAATGACTCGCGCTTAGCGCCATGCGGACACAGTATGCGAAGCATTCCTCAGTTCTGCTTGATTTCTCACACTCGAGGTGTTTTGTTGGCCAACGCCAAACATGTGCTGGCCACATGCCCCGTTTAGGCCCAATTCCTATCTCAAGCCTGTTCCAGCGAAGGTGTGAACTGTTTGACGAGTTTCAGGAGACGTTATCTACACTAAAGAAAAAAAATTAAATAATTTTAAAAGGGAGTTTATAAGAGATGCTTAAGGATATTGGTCAGTCTGTATGTTTTTTCTAATAATTTCTTGAAAATACAGTAAGAAATGTTTTTCTCCGTATGGTATATTGGCAAACAAAGTACCACAGAGGTGTCCTTTTCTCCCAGTCCTTCTCACCTCATCGGTGCTACCTTCGACTTCCACTGGGCTCTCCGTTTTCCCACCAGGGCCCGGCAGGGAGTTGAGTTCTCCTGGCCCTCCCGCACACATGGCGTTACTCCAACTCCGGAACTCCGATGGAAAAAACAAATAAAAACCGACTGGTGAGAGGCCATGGACACATGTGTGCGGCAAGGAGGTGACCGGAGCACGTACTACAACTCCTCGTAGGTGCGAGTCCTTGGATTCCCATTTGCCGATTCTGTCCAATTCCCATATCCTTGTTGTGCCACATGATGAGGTTTCCTTGTGCTTTTCCCGTAGCGCCAGGCGTGTCCAAGCGTTGCGTTAAGGAATTTCTCAAGGCGATACGATTTTCACACACATTCCGAGCCCAACAAAGATGAGCCGGCGCTCGCAAAAAAACACACGAGCCAAAGTTACATATGTCTGCCGGGCGGGAATCTTTTATATTGAAGAAATTTCCATTTCTTGACCCGGGCTTGACCCGAAAGAGGGATTCCCTCGTGGGCGGCATTTTCCCACGATTTTATAACTGGGCTGGGCTGTCTCGATAATGCACATAACTTCCACTTTTCCCACATATCCCAATCCATATGTGTCCGATGCTGTTGGGAAATTGTCCTCGCCCTTTTGGTTTTTTGCCTCGAAACGGGAAAAGTTCTGATTTGAGAATTTGTTTCGAGGTTTTCCAGCTGGATGGGAAATGGCACTGGATGGACATGTGGCCAGTAGCCGGTGCGATGATTGCTGGGTGAGCACACTGCGGTTATTTCGAGTGGACAGGTTGTAAAGGTTGTGTTTTGGGCCACACCCATAGCCACCACATTCGCACGTGCAGTGCACTCCGACCCCTGGCCGGCCACTTGACTCTATGCGCCGGCGCAGGCTCATTTCACGGCAGGTAAGCACGGCGGACAGGTAAACATTTGCCAATATCTCACGCTGGCTATTGGCCATCGACACGTGGGCAGGTGATTGTCCTGGATTCGGGCAAGTGCTAATTAGTCCGACTACCTGTTGACGATTGTCGGGGAAATAAACAAACCTTGTTGGGTGATCTTGGCTAAAAATAGGCCAATTATTGAGGTCAAAATAAACATATTTATTGGAGATATAAAACAAACAAATTTTTAATTACATTATTTACTCATAAATAAATAACAAAATCAAATAACGACTAAAATTTTGATTCCTTTTTATTTCCGAATTCATATTTTATAATTTCCACTAATTTTTTTGATTTAACGATAAAATTGTTGATGAATAATGATGGATACTTCAAAACTTTTAATAATTCATTTTCTCCTTTTAAATGCAATTCAATGAACTTGTTGAAGTACTTGAGCCATTCTTCAGTTTCGAAACAAAAAAGTAATTTTAGCTGGAGATATTGGCATGCTGGGTGCCGGGAAAACCAAACCCCGACGATGAGTCCAAGTCCCCCAGTCCACCCGCACCGGATAGGGCATCCGCAGTGGTGAGCGGCGACGGGTTACGGAACTGGTCCGCTGACATGCGAGTGAATAGAATGCCCACACCCTCGATCAGGGAGAGAAGAATGCCACCGATTACCGCGCTTCCGGCCATGGCGGCCACTCCGTTACGGGCGGCCAGGACGCCTCCGGTGACTGCACCACTTATTATGGAGTTCCACGGATCCTCCTTTTGGCGCAAATGCACCAGACCGCAGTCCACAATGCTGAAGACGCCGCCCCAGGCAGCAAAGTTGCCGGCTATCACTGGCGATTTTGACTTGACGGCCATCACGCTACCGGCTAATCTTCGTCCTAGGCCCTGGGGGGCATTCCGAAATCCCTTGAAGCCCTGGAACACACCTCCACCGATGCAACCCATGGCGAAGGCTCCGCCGCAATCGTCGACTATCCGATACGGACACGGCTCACGGGAATACTCCTCCATCTGGCTTTAAGCTTTTTTTGTCCTTTTAAGGATCTCCGACCGAAACGGAAACAAAAACGGAAAAAAGAATTTTTATCGAATTTTTAATACACGTTCCAAATTTCTGATCTATTTGAAAGGAGTTCCAAGGTAGGAAACTCTAAATGATGTTTTCCTTAGAGTGGAGTCACTAAGGTGACTGATTTATTTCCAGAAATGGCATACAATAAAGGCAAATGTTACTACAGGTTAGTCAGAGATCTAGGTTCTCTGGGACAACCGCTCCAACAAGTTCATATCCCTCACCAACCTGATAATCCTTTAATCAAGTCCCTAACCACAGGTTATGAAGCAAAAATAACATGATTTTGTTTACTTAAACCTACAGGAACCACAGAACCCAAGCAAACAGACTCGCACGTGGATAGGCAAACCCCCATCTCATCAGCCAAGCTTCGATGGCCCTTCGATGACAAAAAAAAAGGTTAAATGTCGGACCGTAGTTAACCATAAAATTTACTACCGCAGCTGGACAACTTTGGATGGAACTGAAACTGGGAACTGGGAATGGGTCTTTGGGGCTTGGGAAGGGGGCATTTTGAAAGACGCAGTTCGTACAAAAGCAGACGGTGGGAAACGGAAACAATGAGACCGATTGTCGTCGAACGATAAAACTAAACAGTCAGACAGAAAAGACCAAACCAGACCCACAAACCATTCCGATCCAGAAAGGGAAGCTTACGATTGCATGCATAATTATCACGCGAACATAATCGAAATTTTGAAACAGCCGCAACTGTGTTTGCTTAAAAATATAATTTTGTTTTCCAACTTTTTTGGGGGAGATTCTTTACCGCGATGAATATCTGGCCATATAACAAGGTGTCAAACAGCGGTGACAAATGAAAGTGAAGCCTCGATCGAAACTGAAATCGATTTGTCGAAAAATAAAGGGAGAACACCTGGACACACACGTAGCGCCAGTCGATTGTGTCCATCAGGAGAAACCTTGTCAACTTGACATGTAAATCGTTAGAACGTGTTGCACTCGATTGATTATTCCTCACTTTGGACAGTATCTGCTGGCCAAAGGGTAGCTCTATCGGAGATCATTTGTCAGGAAATCGACTCACCATAAATCCAGGGCACATTGTTTCCATTGCAATCGGGGCGGGACTTTCCACTGAAATCTTTATTTCCCTGGTAATTATTGTCGCTTACAAATGATTGAGCTGAAAATTTATTCAATTGGAATGGTGTTAATGTGGGCACATTATGTTAGGCCCCTAAAAGGATTGGCGATTCCTGCGAAGGATGCAGCAACACGATGAGGGATTTCCCACGAATTCGGGAGTTTCTCGGCGGATATTTTCCCGGGAAAACACAGTCGAAACGGAATCTCCATTGAATCTCCGTAATGAAGTTTCTGATACAAAATTTGTTTAAAGGAGGTATGATCTTTAACTTTTCTTGTTGCTTGATAAATATTTAAATAATATTAGTCAAGAGCAACTGATTTCTTCGGAAATTTTCCACTATTTCTGGAATATAATGCATATCTTTTACAATTTCAAACTGAATATACAGATGAGTAATTAGCATATCAAACAAACAAGAGACTGACATGTAACAGTGAAAGTAGGACTCTATTACAAAGATGTTTCTAATCCGAAAAATGTTCCGCTTCCGATCCTTTATGAATGCCACCGTTAATTCCGCTACAGGACTCAAGAAAAGAGGCCAGTGCCTGGGCAGCTGTGATGCAACTTTCCATATCTTTGGGTCTATATGCATCTGCATGAACGATTACAAAAGAAATCAAAAACGGAACTCATTTTGTTATATCCCTGCACATGCCAAAACGCCATCGAGAACAAAGGAGCCAAACAATTGCGGTTGCATTACCCCAGAAGTCCGATTCAAATTCAGACAGCCTCCAGCCAGGCAATGAGATTCACAATTCGGAATCAAAGTGCGGGCCAGGACTCGACAAAGGATGTGGCTCAGGTACGGCCGGCAGGACATGCTGCCAAAAAATAAAAATCAAAAAGAAAATGCAGAAACATCTCAAACGGTGCACTATTGTTGTTGTCCTGACTGTGATTACTCTCATTCCAATGACGATCATGATGAGGTTCTATTTTGCACTGCAAGAAATTTCTTTAAATTATTTATAATTAAAATTTTTGTATATTTTATCTAAAAGTTAAGCCTAAATATAAGAGTCTACAAAGCTTTTTAAGAGTTAGTATTTATACCAAAACTAAGATGTTTCTAAAGGTTTAAGTTTACTTGGCTTTGTACGAGTTAATTATAAAAGATTATATATTTTTAATAAAAATATTTGTAGTTTATTGATAAAGTTTTTCTCCAAGTGCCTTGGAATGATCCCCTCCTAACAATTTGCCATTGTGCGCCCGCAGATGCAAGTCAACGTCCGAATCGAGCCGAGTCTCGGGTTTTTATTATATTTTTCTTCGGCTGAGGGCAAACAGATGCACAAACTCCTTGGCAAAAACCGAATACCCAAGCCAACGGCCCAAGACGAGGAGACGCGCCAAAGGACCCGAGCCGAGTCCTTTCGGGCATCCAGAATCCTGAGCTGCAGCTGCCAATGCCAAGCCACCAACGCGCCACCCTCGAGTTGACAATATTTCCAGCACCGATTTGTGATTCCAGTGCCCAGATTCCTGATGGCCCGATTTGTGCTGCCTGTGACTGTGCCGGGTGATGGCACGCAGATGCCATGTCCTTTGGGTTTCCTTTTTGCCATTGTTGTTGGCCGTTCACCCGCCCGCCCGGTGTAATGATTTTTTTTCCTTGACGTCTGTGTGGGTTTTTTTTTGCATCCTTCTTGGCTCTAAGAACCTGGCCAAAGGTGTCGGAAATGCTGTTAATAGGGGAGTTTCTATCAGCCTGACAGGACATAAGTTTGTGTGTGGCTGAAGCTGGAGGGAAGGATATGTCAAACATATATCAAGGATTTTTAAATCTTAGAGGGGTTTCCTCAAGGAAGTTAGTTCTCCTGCAAGTAGTTTTAAAAAAGAAAGGAACTAAACTATATTCCATTCACTCTCCTATGATTATAATGTCCTTTATGACCATTCCTCTTTAAAATACACCCATCACTATAATAGAAAACATAATCACCGCCACAGAATTAAATATTATTATACACTTCATTTAGGAGACACATTTAATAGGCTAAACAGAGTGTTTAGAGCTGCCAACAAGCAGGACACACGCAATGCCCGCTAATCAGCTTAGTTTCCGAAGGATAATGAAAAGTTTGGGGGCTGCCTGCCGGGACGACAGTGTGCTGACAACACGATCCTTAATGCATTGACAGGATAACGAAGCATGAATAGGCACGATACCGGCCAGAATAATGGCGGGATCGGAAGGAGCCAGAGGGGGAATCCAGGACGGAGTCAAGGCAGCTGCCACAAGTGCAGGTCGGGTGACAATAGAGCGTAACTTCTCCGCTTTTTTTTTTCTCTTGTTGGGGTCCTGTCTGGATTTTGTCCTTTGGATCGGAGTCCCCGTTCGGATCTGGGGTCGGGGGTCATTCACAATTTGGCGAGAACAATGGGCCACAGGTAGCGCTTGGAACCCGCACATAATCGCCGCCAGATACGGCCAGGTGATCCAACTTTTTGATTTCTTCTGGCTAAGGGACATTGATATGCCGGCATAGGCCAGGCGGGATTCCTGGAAGCAATTCCTTTCGCTGGCTTTTCAAAACATTTACTCCAGTGTGTCTGCTTATTGTGTTTCGTGAATCTATTGATTGTGCAATGCTGCACCCGGTCAACAAAAAGGGCGAAGAGCCCGTGGCAGTGATTTTTCCTCCTTCGATCTTCGATTTATGGAACATGGCTCCTTTTGTTTCGTGCCAAAAAAAATGAAGCGAGAAGAAAAAAGATATCGAGACTGCAGTTGTCCTGCTCCGGTGGTAGTAGTAGCATAGTAGTAGTAATCAACATTTCATTGTCAACGAGATCACACATCGTATATCTTGGGCCATGGTTTGTTTTCTTTGGTGGTATCCTTAATGTTCGTTTCTATTCTTTTGCTTTCTCCTTGGACTTTTTTCATCTTCCTTATTATTTTTTTCTTTACTTTTTTTTTGCAAAAGGTGCACCGGGTCCAGGTGAGGCAATAGTACTGTTAGGTTATGAGTAAAATATGACAGGAGGTAACTGGAGGATATATGCCCCTTAAGAGGTTGGCCGATCAAGTCTCGAAAGCTGTGAAAACATTTGGGTTATCGAGTCTATTGGAACTTGGATGGAATTTATTAAATTAGGGTATTTAAATATAAATTATTCTTCAAAAATATAATTATTTAATCTTCAAGATAGTATTAAAATAAAATTTTTATATTTAAGAGATAGGATCTAACAGACCAAGCTAAGCCTTTAAAATGATTTTATTAAGCCCAAAGGTTTAGAATTTATCCTGAGATTTTAAGATGTTTTCCTTTAATATTTGCTAAAAAATTCAGCCAAATCTCAAACTCCACATTTATTTAGGATATTGTTTCTTTGGCTCCTCCTGGAACAATGCCAAGGTGAACTCTGAACATCTTGTGTTCCTCCATTATTTCCAGCAACAACAAATGAGCCAGGACAAGGTGCAAAAATGGGACGGGCCCATTGTCTGCAAAATAACGACAAAGAACAACAACAATTCGGGGCTATAGAAAATCAGAGCCTCAGTCGCAGCACCTGCAGAAATTCCGAGCTATCCGGAAAAAAAGTAGAAAACCGAAATCAAAGGGTTTTTCCAAATCGGCGCATGAATGAAGTGGTTGGCGGGAATATCGGGGAAAAAATGTACCGCCAATCTACCTAATGCTAATGAGCGGACATGGTTTTTCGCGGGTCAGGTACTCGAACGACAAGTGGGTTGGGAAATCCTTTATAATGAATGAAAGAACCGATGGCGGGTTATCCGTCCCATCCCATATCCTGACGGGCCATTCCGCAAACGGGCGATTTGGGCCCGGTGATCATTAGGTAGGTGCCTGGATATGTCATGGCGGTTAATTGCGCGGAATAACACACGACGTAATAACCAGAGTATCCGGGATGACCCACCAGGTCAGGATGTGTGATGAAATCTCCCGAGTGAGCAGCGAGTTTTTCCGCGATCGCTTGTTTTGCTTGAGTTTCGCTGACTGCGTAATTGGATAAGCCGGGAAATTACTTTAAATCCTGCGCCGATCCACATCCGGAGACGGTCGAAGGGAAACCCATCCAGCAGGGAAATACGAAATGGAAATGCGGCTGGGTTATTGGCTCGACATTTCCCACTTTGCCATCACACCCCTCTACGATTGGCTGTCGGCTGGGAGTTCGGGAATCGGCGACGGAATTTCGAGACGGAATTTTTTGTCACCTCTTGGGTTTATCAAAACTTTTGCTGGGCTACATTTCGGTTTTTTTCATCACATTTTCCCACCTCGCACATCCGCCTGGTTTTTTTGCCCATCGATGGGCCGGGAAATTGGACTTGGCTTGAGGCAATGCGGGCTTGGCTGTTTTTCCGGGCACAAAGTCTGGGGAGTGGGAGTTGGGAAAGTTCGTGGCGATCCTTGTTTGGGTGGCGGGAGAAGTCTGGAGGTGGTGCTAGCTGGGAAAGTCAAAGGTTATGGGAGGTGGTGGAAGAAAGCAAGGGATCGCAATATTTATATATTTTATGTGATGTGCTTAGATGATATTTGCTTAGAAACTTTAAACATTTTAATATGAAACTATTAATTTAGTTTTATTTTTATAATTCTCTTATAGATATTTGGATACATTTTAGTTTGGAATGTCCCTGTAAACATTGTTATGTTAATTGTAATGATTGTAAAATAATATGATTATTGTTCTTTGAAAGACAATAAAATGGCCCTGAAAATATATTCTTTTAAATTATTTATAAAGCCCCAATCCATACTGTTTCAAATATTGGTATGTATGTTATTTGGAAACTTAAAAAAATATTTCAATGTTCTTTCCACATTTCGTAATATTTCTTCTTAAAATAATAGACATTCTTATATTGATCATAAGGATCTATTAGAAACGACTCTATAAGAAACAATATGCCGTTTAAGTAAAATGAATCTTCGCAGAATCTTAAATGATATCATTTTAAGGATCCTGGTTTTCAGAAATCCTTCGTGGGAAAGTCATAACCTGACCTCTAGCTTAAAGTTCACCAGAGACTTGATACTTGGCTGTCACTTCCTTTTCCAATTTGTGACGAGGCAAAGACAAGACTTCTCCAAAACTCCGAAAATGGGCCACTGGAGATGATCCATAAGTCAGTGTAGAGTGCTTGGAATCCGGCTCATTATCCATACTATTTTTAGGACACCTCGCCGACAACGATGCCGATGCCGATGCCAAGGTGTCAGTTTTGTCAGCCCCCGGACCGACCCGCTCAGGTTCAACTCCCCTCGCGTTGTAGGGACACGGCAGATGTACTGGAAGTACCTCTAAGTGCAGAAACCACCCCAAAAGTGATTGCTCTAGGAGTCCAATTTGACTCGTGGAGAATGCCAGTGCTTAAAATAGAAACCCACAACTGTTTGGGGTGAGGGATACTGTAACTTGCATTTTGGAAAACCTGCAGAAGGTGGAGTTTCTATTTTTTTTTCGGTTTTTGAAGAGTTATTACGGGAGGGATGCAATGTCCCGGGGAAATTGGAGAGCCAGCAGATCTGTCATAAGTTATCCGGGGGGATCCCTAAGGGTGCGCCTGCGCTTCACTCTCCCCGACCATCCAGCCAGAGGCAGAGAGAGAGCCAGGAAGAGAGAGCAGGTAACGAGACGAGAAGTGAGGGAAACACGCAATAAGGGTATGGGAAAAATGGTGTTGTTGTTGCTGCTAGGTAGCCGCGCACACGTGCGACTTTTACGGGTGTAAGTGTAAGTGAGTGTGTGTGTTGTTTTTGTTTTGTGTTGTGTTGTGTGTTGTTGGGAAGAAGAACCACCACCAAATGGTGACAGAAGCGCAGGCAGTCGGCGGCCGGCTGCGACGCCGGCAGAGGGCGAGAGGTCCGGGTATAAAAGAGCCAGCTCGACAGTCGACCTGTCACAGCCACCTCAGCCCTCGTTGAGTACGCAACCACAGAAACACTCTCCACTCTCGCAAATCTCGCCATTTGATCGCTCTCTCGATCATCACCGGAAATTAAAACTAAACTTTAAACTCGCTCAACAAAATGGCCGCCAACTACAAGAGCTGCCCGCTCAAGAAGCGCCCCATCGTCTTCGTGGACCAGCAAACCGAGGCCTTGGCCCTGACCAAGGACTCCGAGTTTGCCGTGTTTGACGAACCCCAGGATTTGTCCGTGAAACGCATCAAGCTGGATGCCGATCATCACGAGCAACCGGACTACGCTCTCAATCTCTCCAAGACACCCGAAAGGATGCCGTTCTCCAGCCCCAGTTCCTGCCTCTTGTCGCCGCCAGCCGATGGCCAGGATTACCAGCCACCCACCAGCAACATCCATCTGAGGGGCTTGACTGCCGGAACCACTGGTTACACCACCTCCAGTCCCACCGCCAATCCCTTCCAGTCTGCCTTCGTGATGGCAGCCGGCTGCAATCCGATCTCGGCTTTGTGGAGCAGCTACCAGCCCCATTTGGCCGCCTTCCCCTCGCCCGCCAGTTCCATGGCCTCACCCCAGTCGGTCTACAGCAGCGGCTACCCCCAGCAGATGATGACACCGCCCTCGAGTCCCGGTTCCGAGGTGGACTCCGGCTCGGAACCCGAGGATCTCTCTGTGCGCAACGACATTCCATTGCCGGCTCTGTTCCACCTCTTCGATGAGGCTCGGTCCAGCAGCAACAGCAGTGTGACCAGCAGCAGCTCATCCACCGGATCCTCCTACCTGTACAACTCCTCGAACAGTTCAACTGGATCCGGTTCGGGATCGGGATCTGCTGCCTCCAGCGCCGCCAAGAACTACCGCTTCAAGTGCGAGCAGTGCCAGAAGATGTACTCCACCTCGATGGGTCTGTCCAAGCACCAGCAGTTCCACTGCCCCGCCGCCGAGTGCAACCAGGAGAAGAAGACCCACTCCTGCGAGGAGTGCGGCAAGCTGTACACCACCATCGGTGCCCTCAAGATGCACATCCGCACCCACACCCTGCCCTGCAAGTGCCCCATCTGCGGCAAGGCCTTCTCGCGCCCCTGGCTTCTGCAAGGACACATCCGCACCCACACCGGCGAGAAGCCGTTCGAGTGCCCCGAGTGCCCACGCTCCTTCGCCGATCGCTCCAACCTGAGGGCCCACCAGCAGACCCACGTGGATGTCAAGAAGTACGCCTGCCAGGTGTGCCACAAGTCCTTCTCGCGCATGTCCTTGCTGAACAAGCACACCAGCTCCAACTGCTCCGTATCCTCGGCGTAGGCATTCCCTTGGAGTCTTTCAAAAAAAGTATACAAACATTCCGCTGGCGAAGACCAAGAACAAGAACAGACAATAACCTAAAATAGTCTATACTAAGTCGATTCGGTTTTGGTGCTACTATTATTATTATTATTATTTCATAGCTACTCTCATTATTATAGCTATTTATTTTAGTTTTTCGTAAGTTCGTGTATATTTCAACATTGTCACAAGCAGCATTTGACCAAATCTACTCATTACCCATTTAATTTTTAATATTATTTATGTAAACCTATACCCATTATATAATTGTTATTAAGATTATTGGTAGTTTTAAGAAGATGAATATTTTTATAAAAATAAAACAAACAAATTACAAAAGAAACTTCAAAAATATTAATTATTTCAAAGACACTCTTAAGATTTCAGACTATCAAGCCTAGACCTAGCATTGATTTCCAAAATAATTAACAGGAAACCGGAAACATTTCCGCACCTTGGGGATCAGATCTTTCACATTTTGTGACAATTTCCTTCAACCCTCTTGGCAAACAAGGACATAAATATCGAATTATCAGGAAAACACCTTTGGCATGTGCAAACAGAGAACCGATTTGTCATACACTTTCCATTTCGGCAACTTCCTCTCAACCCGCCCCCATAAATACATATAATAGCACTCCATCCAGCAATCCATATCGCTCGCCAAGAATTGCACCTTTTGCCAATGCAAATATTTAATTAGCTGCACCGGGTTTCGAGTTCGGGCTTAGGAATTCGGGTTTCTGCAATCCTTTGCCAGTATATTTGCCGAATGGATCTACGCGCATGCGTTGTCCCAAAAAGGATACGTCGGAGACCCAGAAGGACTGCAGGTGATAAACGTAGCGACGGCTGCTTATCGAGTCCTGATTGACATGCCAGACGGTAGACGGTAGATGCTAGTTTTAGTGTCCTGATTGGATTGGATTACCGTTCAGGCATGTCCTGGACAAGGAACCGTTTAGGCTTATCGGGTGGCAGTATTTGACCAGAACTGTGCGCCGATAAGACCTCCAAACAGGTACGAGTTCTAGATTAATGCTAAATATTTCAGCTTGTGCACGTAGTCATGAGGAGCACGTTTTCTAAAGTTTAGAGATGGAAAATAGAAGCTAAAAATTTAACCATAAATGGGGATTCATAGACTCTCATTCGTAATCAGTTTTTGTATTGAATAACGAAGAAAACTGTGGGTGTATCGAAATAACATCCATTAACTGGATTTCGCAGCAAAAGCAACACCTTTACTCCATAAATAAGACAGCCTACAGAAAATAACAAAGAATTCCTAGAAGGAAACTGGGTCCAAACAATGGCCAATCATTCCAGTTTCTGTTCCAGTTTTAGTTCTAGTTCCTTGGTAATCAGAGCGCGTTTCTTGTGCAATTGCGAAAAAAAAAATGTAAAGAAAAAAACAGTGCAGATGTGGACGATCACAAAGAATCAGCTGAGAGGAAACACCTTGCCAGGAGGACAATGCCAGCCAAGGCCCGAAGCCAAGGACCGTTGTACCTGTCGCCCGATTGTCTGCCCGGCCAAGAGTCTGCTCCTCACCCACTGACCTACTCCGGTGCGCACTGTCAGACGGCTATGATCTTTGCCGCGCCATTGTTGCTGCGGCATCCTTTTCTGGCATTGTCCTGGCAGCTAATCAGTTCTTATGGCATCCAAATACCAGAAAACAAAACGACAGAAACCACAGAAACCACAGAAAGTCAGCCGATCAATGCGCCCGACTAAACCCAAATCCCTCGAATCGATCCGCAAATCCAAATGCCACCTGAGAACGGGAACCTACTACCCATTAGTCCGGCAACGCGATAACAAATTGCAATTGACAAAAGCAAACGAGATGCGATCGATGGAAGCCACATACGAGCCTCGTCTGGGATTGGAACTGAAACTGGGATGCGATTCTGATTTCGATTCCGATTTGCGAAGCCCATTCCATGCCATACAAATCGATGGCGGGCCGAGATACAAGTTGCGGCATTTGTAATTGCCAAGCCACTGGGGGCGAGGGGGGACAGTCGGCTTGGCAGGAGGATCAGGAGGAGCAGCACGAGAAGGTGCAGGAGGATCAGGAGGAGCTGGAGGTTCGGGCCAAGCAATCAGCAAGCGGCGCATGTCACAGAGCACAAACAAAAAACCAAGATGGAAAGGATTGTTACTGAAATGAAGATGCTCTACAAAGAATAAATATTTAACAGTTTTAAGAAACTAAATTTCTATACTTTTTTATTTAGAATTGGGGTTTTTTTTAGGGGATTTTTTATGGTAGACTTTATATAATACCCATATCACCAATGACTTTTGAAATCCCATCATACCCAAAGAAAGTGTATGAAAAAAATCCCAGTGAAGACAAAAAGCTCATGCAAAACAAACATTAGGAAATCCAATCCGAGCTCTGGCATCCCAGCCAGCATCCAACATCCAGTATCCAGCATTCAGTTTTCAGTTTTAAGTTTTCAGCAGCCAGCAGCCACTTAGGCAGTCAGTCAGTGGAAATGCCTGGCAACCCATACACACACTGAGTCTTTTTAGATCGAGTGTAGGAATCGTGGACCAAGTCGTCGTTTAGGACGTCTGAGATTACGAGCGATTACGTTTTACTCCAAATTTGTATGCTGCCAGAGTTGTAATTGAAAAAGCATCAACATTAATCTTAGTACCAGCACACATATCGCCTAGTAAGTCGGCCGGCTAAGTCAGCGATTTTCGATTTCGATTGGGAATCGGATTTCGTAAGCGACCGAAAAGATCTCAGATAAGCGGGTGTAAGTGTGGGTTAATCCACACATACACTCACTCCTATGGATATAATAAGAAACCAAACATATTGCTTAATCACAGTGCTGATGTGGAGCAGGAGATATGATCTGCCTCGTCCGCCTCCTTCGACTGCTAAATCAGACCTGGACAAGTGAGCGATGTGCGGTCGCATGGCATAAATCAAATCCCGGAGAGAAATTGCCCCGCCGGCTGACAGCCGAGCCACGACAACTGTCCATCGCATCCCATCGCATCTCACAGCATCCATCGAATCCATCCAGCAGAGCTCAACTTTATGCTTTATGCCAGGCCACATGCAAATGATCGTGCCCAGCATTCGACACCGGCCTGGGGATCCCGTGCCGGATCGCAAATGGAGGTTGCTGGATGGTGGATGGCAACCTGTCAGCGATCAGCGACCTTAACTGTAAAGCAAGTCGCAGACCGCATAAGTTCTATTTGCAACACTTGAAGAAAATATAAAAAAAACAGAGAAATCCTATCTTTTCTTAAAGGATGGGTCAGGATAAATTCCAAGCTCTCAAACCCTAACATTAAAACTTTTCCCGAAGTGCATTCTTAAGTTACATGACCGAGGAAGCCTGGCGTTAGTAGTCGCTAAGTGCAGTCAAGAAGAGACTGAACAGACTCGAGTCTTGAGACTCCTGTGGCCATCAACTTGACGATGACGATGAACCCCTCTTTGACGCCCCTGGACCGGGGAGCCCCTTTGAAACCCTAAGCCCCCTTGCCCTCTTGGGGGGCTTCGTGCCCGGACTGCATGGTGTAGATCGGCGAGCGTTGATAAATGTTGTTACTTGTCGTTGTATGGTTGTTGTCTTCTGAGTTGTCGACAAGCCCGATCGATGGGTGGTTATAGTTGACATGTCGCTCTCCGATCCTCTGATTCCTCTGATTCGGCGGCCTAGACCCATGGACACGATCGGATTGGATGCCCGGTGACATGTTCTCCCGAAACGGTTAATTGTGGTTATGATTTGGTCTTGTCGCCGCTTAATTAGCCTCCTTATATGCCCCACTCAAAATTAATTTCCAACTTCCTGCTGCCATCTGCGGCATCATCTTCATCTGCAATTTGAATCTGCCAGCTCCAGCGCAGGGTGTATGAATATTGCATAAAGTACCTACAGTCAAAGGGTAGAAAGTAGCGCGCGCACTCCCTCTCATATCCGATTCATTAATATGCAGGCGAATCCATCGATTCCATGCCCTACGATTCCGCTACGATCCGAACCGAGATCCAAAGCTCACCATAGCCCAGCGATGTGCATCTACTTGACACACATCGCACGCAAATCGATGCGGTAGCATTTACAATATATATATTGTACAGATGTACTCCTCCTTGTGGAACAAAAATATCTTACAAGAGATGCGACTTGGTGTCCAAAAATAGACGGCTTGAAGCCCATGCTCCGGCCTATGCCGTGAATGATTTATGTATGCGACTTTGGGCCTCCTTTTTTGGGCAGTGGGTGTATTAGATCCATGCTAATTGTCTAAAAGAGTTCAATGACCTTTCGATAGCAGCTTAGCAACTGTTTCTAGACTTGGTCTTACTATATCAATGGTGTCCCTTGCATATCATTTAAATTAGATGGAAAATATATGCTAAAGAATGTTGCAAGACTCACGTGTTGGAATCGAAGGGAATGACTCTGGAATGACTTGAGAATGACTCTCGAATGACTCTGTACAATCTATGCAAATTGGCAATAGGAAACCCATCATCGCTGACGTAGTCCGTACAAGAATCTATTGAAATATTTATGAGAAGAAAGACTTTCTTCCGTTTCCGCTGCCAATGAAGTGAATTTAACGACCGGAGACAAGAAGTGTTGGCAACACTCCATAAACTAACAGATTGTAAACGCGGGGCAATTAACTTTATCTCGGGGCGAGACGCACAACTGTCGGCATATCGGGTAAGGAATACCTTCTGTTTATCGGCGTTCGGCGCTTACCTGTTCTGATTTGAGGACTGAAAGTGAAACCGTAAATTTAATTCCCGAGGGTCCAATGCGCGTCTTCTACTTGGCCATCAAATCAGACATCAGGTGGCAGGACTAAGGGCTACTTCCATTGAGATGCTACCGATGGAGACTCTAGCGTCTAGATGGTAGTGTCTTACATATAGCTATTTTATAGCTAAAATTTAAAGGTTTTTTTTTTTTAAGTAGGGGTATATAGTAGTAGAAGCTTAAGGATTATTAAACTTGAAACATGTTTAGGGGATTACCAGTTCCAGGTTTGTTAAGGCCATAAGAAGATTAGTTAAATAATGAACCAAGATATTTGATATTTAATATCTTAATATATATATCCTCAACCAGTAGCTTAATCCCAATTCCAACCAAAAAACCGCAATGCCATCACTATTTGGTCGGCGTTCCGTTGATCACATTTTGGTCAGCTTGTAATTAATTCCAGGACTGCCCAAAATAGATACATCTTCGGTAGAGCCGGCCAGCCATAT